CAAAACCTGTGTTACTGAGAATTGTAGAATACAGACAGAGTCTGTAAAATAGAGAGCATGAATGCCCCGATTTTCAAATCGTCCTTGCGTAGCACAATATTTGGGGCTTCTACTTAATTCCTTTGGACAGACCGATATTTGAAAATGGCTAAATTGACTCGAAAAGATGGTATAAATATTTATCGAAGTGGAACAAAAAAGTCGTACTTTGAATATATTTCCATTTGTCTATTCCAATTGAAAAGCGTGTAACGGAAATACGACTATAGATCCCTTAAAATCTTTAACGGGGCATGGCGTTGAAGGCATTAAGGCTGGAAATACATAAAGTGCATATTTGGCTGGCTTAAGTCATCTGCTGGCTTCTTCGTAAATGAACAAAGGAGTTTTAGGTTGACCTAGTTCGATTTTGGCCCTAGGCTCCTTTGTTCATTTCCGAAGAAGCCAGCCGATGACTTAAGCCAGCCAAATAAGCGCTTTATGTATTCCCAGCTTAAGAGTGTCTGACATGGTAGAAGAATATAGGTAGGCGCAAGGTAGATCTAACAGGTAACCGCATCGGCGAATTGCTACAATAAAACAACTTTTGTGGTACCCTCAAATGTCAAAATTGGCATCAAAGGCGAAAAACATAGATTCGCCATGACATTTAAAGGTTGCCGCAAATTTGTTTCAACCAATCAGAAACGAGGAACGTCGCAATAAAAGTTTTTATTGTAAAACAAATAAGAGTAAAATAAGTATTAATTGTAGTATTGCGATATTTTTTAAACCAAGATATTTTTTAAAAAAACTTATAATGACTATATTTTACTGGTTTAAGTCGAAAGTTTTCAGGAACTGCAAATGACAAGAGTCGAATTCTTGCACTACTTCCCGTGATGTGCTTTGGGAATTTTAGATGTTGAGGCTAGCTTAATTCTTAAAGCTGCACTCCATTCTAACCTCCTTCCTTCATTTTCTTTTAATTTTTTTTTACTGGTTTCACTCTAAACTTGCTCTTAAATTATTTGAAATATTATAAAAAGGTACTTTTAGGGAAGACAACATTAACAAATTTGTTGTTGCATTCATTTAGGCCGAATTCTTCATTACAGCAATTTGTTTTGACATTTAATGGTGCCGTCAGCTGGGCTGATGCGATTACCTAGTACATCTACCTCGGGTAGGCGCATCGACTCAGCTGCTGGGACAATGAACTGTGAAACCAATTTTGGAATTAAAAATTATCGAAGAAAATTATCAAAATTCGTATAAATGTTTGAAAAATTCATCATAACATCCTCAGATTTGCTTTTACTTCTTTTTGAAAAAAAAAAACATTTTAAAATTTTGGACATTTCATTGTTCTGAAGCGTTGATGCACCTACCTTTATTCTTCTACCATGGTATGTACTTTACTCTTGATTTTCACAACTGAAATTTCGTTCATATATCACACGATATCTGCAACTTCTACATATGAAAAATTTGATATTACATATATAAAAACAATTTAATCTGATACGTAGACAATACCCACTAAAATTTCGTAAATATATTACAAAATATCTACTGCCATATTTCATTCCGAATGTAGGAACATATCATTAAAATACTGCCTGTAAATCATGGTAGAAAAATACAGGTAGATTTTCAAATATAAGTGGATTTTTATATGTTTTCTTATTCGACGTCATTCGGAGGCTATTATAATTCACGTCACGTCAACAATTTTTACAAATTTAAATAATTTTTCATTCAACATTTTCCATTCCAAAATTGGTTTGACAGTTCATTATCCCAGCAGCTGTGTCGATGCGTCTACCTATATTCTTCTACTATGCTGTAAATCAACTAAATTATACCAAGCAACTCCATTTTAATGTAATTTTTTTATATTTTCCCATTTTTTATATTATTTTTATTTTTTAATCGTTTCTTCAATTTTTTAATTTAATCTAAATATATAGAGTATATATGTATGTATGCTATTGGAAAATGTTCTTGTTGTTGTATGTATTTAGAATATGCTCATGTAATTGTAAATAATTTGTTTAGATTTCTGTGTTTATTTTTTTTAAATTTTTTATTTTATTTATTTTTCATTTTAACAAACTACTAAAGTAATTAAAAATTTACTACAAAACTACGGTTTTTTGTTGCTTTGGGAGTTCATCCCCATCCTTTTTTTTGATGTAGAATTTCTTTTAATATGATGATTTTGTGGTTATACTTGTAGTTGTTGATTAATGATTTTTATTGGTTTATACTATCGTTTTGTTTTAATATTTATTACTAATTGGAAATTATTGATCCTCGGTTTATTAATCTTATTTTCTTGGTTTTTTATGTTTTTTTTTTTATTTATTTCAATTCAAATTGAAAATTAAATATATTTTGTTTTAAAAACCCATTAAACAAAAAATTTAATAATAGTGAGAAAAAATAAATTATTTGTAGAAAATCTGTTCAATAACCCGCTGGGTAAAACTCACCCTGTAAAATTTGTAAAGAGAATTAACTCTCTCACGTCCAGATATTGATAATAGAGACATTCAGTAAATTCTAGAAAAGAAAACAGGCGTTTCTTCAAAAAAAATGAAATAGTCAATTTCATGTTGCACATTTTGAAAATTTGTTCACTTCGTCATATTAAAGCTGATGCAAATCAAAAACAATTCTGAAAACTGCCACTTAAATGAAAACCGTTATATGGGGACTATACGAAGACGTTGACCTGCTTACGAAATTTTTGGTAGTAGGCTGTAGTACCCATTACGAACTTCAACTACGAATCTTGAAAGAGTTGTCCCTAAAATCATGAAAATACCGAATATCGGGAGGTACCGTTGTATGGGGGCTATACGGAAACGTGGACCAACATGGCCCATTTACGAACTTAACCTGCCTACTGGTAAAGTATGCATATACGCCAAATGTTCGCCTTCTATCTCAATTTGTTCAAAAGTTAGCGTGACCACAACAGACGGACAGATAGACAGTCGGGCAGGCAGAGAGATAGATGGACATCGCTAGATCGTCTTACGCTGATCCAGAATATATATACTTTGTAGGGTCTATTATGAATATTTCGAGAAGTTACAAACGAAATGACAAAGCCACCATAAAATGGTGGAGGGTATAAAAACACTCAAAGTCAAACTTGATGAGAACCCAAGATTTGGTTATTTGGGAACAAATTAGAAGACAGGCAGCCCCAAGTTTATACTTCATAATACCAAATATTTCCGCGACCTTCTCAATGACATGGAAATATAATTCATTACGGTACGTGCCAGCATTGGCACCTCTTTCTAGTTTTGATCCGACCCATAAAGAAAGCTGTTAAAATTATTCCAGTGACAGCTTATTATATTGTGAGAATTTTCCAGAAAAAAAGTTATTCGTGATGGAATTCACTTGGCCGAAAGTAGTGAGCTGCCAAATTTGATTTTCTCCGACAACATTCGTTGTCCATCAGTTTGTAAACAAACAAAATGACAGTGTTTACTTGCCAAAGAGGTCAGGTGAAATTGTGCACCTTCGGTTTGCTTCAGACAACAATGGTGATGGTGTGGGCCGCCATAATAGCCGATGTTCGCTCTTCGCTCGAATTAATCGACCGTGGCATCAAAATAAATGCCGAATATTATCGCGAAAATATTCTGGAGGGTGTATTAAAGCGTGGGCACGCAAACATTTTGGACATTCCAATAGGACTCAGCACCATCGCATTCAGCACGCGCTACCCAAGAATGGTTACAAAATTAGGTTCCTCGCTTCATTTACAGCGCACAATGACCTACAAAATCTCTAGATACCAATCCGGTGGACTATTGTGTCTGGAGTATTTTGCAATGCAAGGGTGGCACTAAAAAATACCAAAGTGTCGATCACCTCAAGCAAGCGTTTCGCGGGGAAAGAGCCAATATACCGCAGAGCAACATTGGGGCAGCGTGTGACGGTTTCATTGGCCGTTTGAAGGCCATAATTCTTGCCAAAGGTGATCAATCGAACAAATCTAAAATAATTCTAAAATTTAATGCTATTTCCGAAAAAATGTAAAAATGATGGTGTTTGTCTTTCTTCGTAATGTAAACAAAAAATGGCAAATTGGATTACTGAAATAAGATGGTCCTTCTCTCAAACATGATCGAATAAGGTTTGAACACTGAAGGTTAAGTTCAATTTATTATCATTCATTATTAGTCCATTTTCAGAGAAGGGAAGTGAGTGAGAACAATTCTTCTTAATTTTTTTCTTGTCTGGCCCATCGATATCCGTAATGAAAAGCAAAAAATGTTCTCTCTTTAAAAAAAGGCGATATAACTCTCCCATAAACTCCCACTCCCAAGTTTTGGACACCTATGGTCGGGTCCTCCTTTCTTGACTTAGCCTTTGATCCTTACAGTCATACATTAGTGTCTGTCATTTAGAAGCAAAACAAAAATAAAACATAAAAACTCTACAAACTGAACCAAAAAATTATCACCATTGTTTTTTTTTTGTTTTGTGTAAATATATATTTTTCTGTTTTTTTATATATTTTTATTTTAAAATTAGAAAAAAATACATAGGTTTGTATGTATATAATATTTCACAAATTATAATCATGGAAAGCTTAAATGTATGTTTTTAATTTTTAAATAAAAAGAAAAATAAATTTACAAAATTAAAAAAAAACATCATTTTATTTTCAATAATAATTTCTTTGTTGGTTTTTTCGTTTGTTTCCTTTTTTATCAATTTCTTAATATATTTTGTTTTTAAAAAAATTTGTTATTAATAATTATATAAATTATAGAAAATTTGAATTTGGTTGTTTGTTGTTTTAAAAGTTATTAGATTTTGGGTCGCCATTATGATGTCTAGCTAATAATGACAATACTGAAACTAAATGTGATGATACTGAAGGCCCGAAACATGCGGCCTCTATCATCCTTTGAGATTATTTAGATAATCCTATTAAAATAGAATGGAAAGATCGTATTTGAAATCATAATTAGAGTTATTTAAAGTTTTTGTTGTTTGTTTTTCAATTTAAGTACATACTATTTTATTGCAAGATGAATAGAATCGAGATTCGAAAACAATTATAGTTTTTAGTTTTCTTATCGAAATCATAAAGCATTCAGGGGTCAATATAGAAATGGCAATATCTTTTTTGAACACTAATACAAAATATTTCATAAAATTCGCTAGTATAATATTTTACAATTCTCATATATCAAAACGTAAAAAAATTATAAAAAAAAAAATTCCAAAATCTTTATTGAATAATCCTTATTGATTAAAATCTAATTTTTTATCTTTATTGAATAATCCTTATTGAAAGACACACCAGTAGGAACAAAATATTAAAATTTTAACAAATAAATGATTAATTTTAAAAATATTTAACAAAAATTATTATTGATTGCTTAAGTCTGGAGTATTCCTCCATTGGCTTAGCTTCATGTTACTCTCTGTAATAGTTTTTCAAAACGAAACTACAAAAATATTATTTTTTATCATTTTATAAGAAAGTATAGAATTTCAAAGCAAATCGAAATACAATAAATTTAAATAAGACACATATATAAAAGAGGTTTAGATTTTGTAGTCCGAACTTGTCGTGGTAATTGGTGCTTTTAGGAATTTTATTAAAATTGTATGCAGATGTTGTTGCCAATTTTAAATGAATTCAAATTTACTATATGTCCTTCAAAACAGTGGACAAATAATTATTGAGAAATGGAGTTCAAAGATACTTAGCGATGCTGAGTGATGTTACACGATGTTCTTGTTTATGTAATTATGGAAATTGAGATTTACAGCTGGTCAGAGAAATTGTTTTAATGATCAAGTGACTGGGTCCTGGTGCAAAAAAAATTTAAATTATTGTTATAAGAAGTGATTATATAAGAAAAGAGCCCTTTTATCTGATTTGCCAAGTACCTGGCCATCCATTAAGAGCAGGTTGTATTAAGGAGCTAGAAAACTATAAACTATTCCCTATTATTAGCTTTAATTTTTCTGTGGAAAATTTGTATATAAAAAAGTGATCTTTCAAGTTTCCATTTTTTTTGTTTCAAACATGGGTGGGCGATATTCAATTTGGGATGCGTATAGCAAAGTAAGATACAAAAGATCAAGTGAATGAGTCCAGTGCGAAAACTTGATAGAAATGTCATATAAACTGGACCATGTTTTTCAAAAAGGATGAGAGTAGAATAAGACGCTATTTTGAAAATCGTTTTTTATGATAATTTATAAAATTATTAAAAAGTAAATTGGTCCCAAAATTTTTTATGAGGTGGAAATTATGTTACAATTTCCAAATCACTTTGAAGTGTTTTAAATGAACTCAGAATTTTATATGAAAAATTAAATGGTCTATATGAACCCTTCCGGCATGACATTGTAAAAATGAAGCATTGCAAAGGACGAAAAATTTTAGTACTGAGATTAAAGAGCAGGACCGGAGTTAATTGGTCTTGAGAATTTTCTGTTCTAAATGTTCACTTTTATGGAATTCTTCGCTTTAACCAACTCCCTTATTTAAACATTAAAATTTGGAATTTTTATTTTTCCATATTTTAATACTAAAAAATGCAATGAGCTTCATAAAAAACTAATATCAAGCGCAGGAACAAAATATGTTAATTGTAATAACTAAACGTTTTAAAAAATATTTCAAAAATTTTAGACCTGAAATACATATACTGAATGCGTATAGGACACGAAAAGTTTTAATTTAGAGCACATTAAAATACAAAGAAATGAAATAAACATATTTCTGAAAAAGGCCCATGTTTTATGTCTCAAAATTGTGTCAGCTCAATTTAGAACAGGGGGAAAAGTTGCAAAAACCACCGACTAGATAATTCGAAACACGAGGCTAATCCACACCCTCTATGTTAGTCTTTTAAACCTTCAAATTTCGGCTTCCTGTAGTGCAATTCTCTAACCCATTTTTTGAGTTACCGACAGAAGTCAGTAAAAGTAAAAAGATTATAATTTCGGTAATTAATGAAATTTATCGGTAAGTTAACGACAAAATCAAAGTAGTCGCTAAGACCTACCGGAAGATATCAATCTTTTCAACCTTAGATTATTTTTTATATCAAATTATGGGTTTCAAAGTTACCGGTTTTTGTCGGTAACTCAAAGTATGTTTTAGAGAATTCCACTACTGTGCATTCAAAAGCAAATAGCAATAACAGGAATAAAATATGTTCATTTGAACAACAACACATTTAAAGAAATACATACATTTTTAAATTGAAATATATTGAATTAGTTTAGGTTTGGAAATGTTATAATTCAAAGCAAAATCAAACAAACTTCTAATAAAGCCTATATTTTATGAAGAATGAAGAAGAATTCTTCTTTTTAAAATTTTGACATATCAATGTTCCCAAGCGTTGATGCATCTACCTATATTCTTCTACCATGATCTGCACTATTAAACATGTACATTATTTCAAAAATAAGCATTGAATTGTGTTTTTCATTTTATTAATCTTTCCTGTTAATTTGTAATATGAGGAGCTTAGGAAAGGCAAAAATTTCCGAACCAGTGAACAATTGGAATTAATTTAATTTCATATCCAAAGACAATTTTAAACTGATATAAAGAATGGTTCCCTCGTATAGGAACTAAAAAGTTGTTGGGATTTGCTGTGGACAAAATGTGATAGGAGCCATGGTACAATAAAAAGGTAAAGTAGAGCTACCAGCTAACTACATTTTTTTTCTAAGTGTACCCGATTTCTGCCAATTTTGTGTATGTTTTTATTGTTTAAAAAAAAAACAAAATATTTTCAAAATCAATGATTGGAAGAAACTTAAATTGGGGGCGCGCATTAATGAAATTAATCAGATTTACCATGGAATTGAAAGATTCAACACTTAGGATCTTATTTTTGAGAGAACATCCAGGTATTTTATTCATCTTTCGCGCCATTTGACTCATTTTAAAAATCAACAAATAATATCAAATAAATGAAAATAACTTGTTGAATATAATTTTGATCTGTTCTACATTCTCCTTATTGTACCATGCTAGGAACTCTATTTAGAGTTAAAGTACAAAATATCTGTAAGAATATATAGTCTGTGTTTGAATCAAAACAAGCCCTAAATCTGCTTTAATTAATTATATACCGCACCAAAGATACAAGCAGAGGACCTCAATACAAAAATTATAGGAATCAATATTTTTTAAATATGTTTACGTTAAATATCCCACATATTAGGTGCATTATTTGCTAAAGGGAAAGAGTACATTTTTTTAAGTTTTCTAAATCTTTTCGTTTTGTTTATTATTGTTTGAAACCTGTTTATTGAACTTTTTTTTTATTATTTACTAATATTCGGTGGCACTATATGTTAAGTTGGATTTTTTGTTTTCTTAAATGTTAAAATATTAACGAAAAAACATGGTAAAAATTGCATATAAAATATTGAATACAGAAAGAAATCGGTAATATTCGGGTTATTGTAAATTATATTGTACAAAAAAAAATGTTTGTATATAATACAATTAATGGATACTGTCAATTTGAAAAATTTAAAAAAAATCTTTATGTATGTCATGATGTTAATATTTCTACATATTTTTCTTTTTTAAATTTATGTGTTTTCTATTTATAAAATATTGGCAATGGAATGTTGTTGTAATGAAAATTAGAGTGGATTTTGTTTTTTGTTATTTTGATTTAAGTATAAATTTTCTACTCTTGGCTAACTTTTAAAACAACAAACGTGGGCTTTTTTCTTCCGTGTTTGCGGTTTGCGTTTTACTCTTTTTTATTTTTGTTTTGTATTTGTTTGTTTCTTATTTTAAGTTTTGTTTTTTTTATCAGTATATATAAGAAAATATAATAAAATTAACTTATATTTTGCATAACTATTTTATAGAAAAATAATCTAAATAGTATTATATTAATTAAAAAACCCCAAAATAATGTTTGTAATTTTAATAATAATGTTTTAATGGAAAATAGAGTAAAAATAAAACTGAAATAAACAACTCAACATTATTGAGTTAGAAATATACAAAAAGTAGCATGGAGCCAGTTACACTAGCATCTCTTGATGTCTGTTCCAGGGATGGCAAGTTTCGTTGCTTAATACGTAAGACTATTGGTCACATAGATCTTCAAATATACTATTAACATTTAAAGTTGTGACGGCATGAATTTTGATACAAAAGATTTATAAAAGTGGCCAAGTGGTTTTCGACTATATCGGATTAAATTGTTCAAAGCTTTATATAGGAGACAAATATTTACACTTCCTATACGTATGAAAATGTCTTTGTTTACAATAAAATACTTTTAATTTAGCCATGTGATCCAGTAGCTTCACAAAGGGGAGTAACGAAAACTGCCTTGACTGAATAGAACTTACAATGACAAATATTGATTCAATTTGTTATAGAGACTAGCACTATACAGGACTAAAGGGTGAATTTGCTAACTATCAATATTGTATATCAATCTGGTATTACCTTAAACTTGCACTTTAAAATCTCATGAAACTTTGCTAACAAAAACCAAAGTAAAATAAATTGAATTTAATGACATTTTGATATACCTTTTTAAGATCTTATCAGATTACCATATAATATTGATATTAATCCACGAACTTTGTAGTCCTGTTACTATAATTTCTGACTCAGGGCCTGTTTTGGTATGACGAATGCGTTGGAAAAACACCATTTCAAATAATATTCCTTTCGAATTTTACTCAAAAAAAGATTCGAATTCATTTGAAATTGTGTGTTTCCCTCGAATTCATTTTCGTATCGTACGTCATACAAAACAAAGACCAAATATTGCCAACTTTTTGCCTAACTCAATATCAACAACAAAGCAACAATTTTTCTTACTCGATTAATTTCAAATTTCTTTTTCTTTGTGGCATTCATTTTTCAATTTCAAAATTTGATTTTCTGTTTTTTGTCTTTCATTTTTGCAAATGTAAATGTAGATGTATGCGGGTGTGTGTGTGATTAAATATATGTATATGTAAGTTTGTTTTAATATGTCTATTGCAAAATGTCTTGTATATTAAAATTATCATTATCTAGTGAATTGATTAAATCTTGTGTTGAGAAATTACCACCATCAACGGGTAAATTATCTAAAAATTCGAGACACAAATCATTCGAGTTGCCAACCACCGAATTGATGCCTTGATTCATGCTATTGGCACTGTTCGCTGTGGCCACGACGCTGGAGACGGATGATACTGTGGCAGATGTTGAGGAGAGTACATTGTTGCCGTTGCCACCGGGACCGAGGCCGGGTCCGTTGGGACCACCCGGTACGCCGCCGCCGCCACCAGCACCCGATGGACCAACACCGCCACCTTGTGACATTTGTAGCATTTGCTGTTGTTGGTGTGTGGCGGTGGCGGTTTGTTGGACAAATTGTTGTTGTTGTTGCATGCTAATTTGGGTTTGTGACATATGCATGCTGGTCATTTGCATTTGTGTCATCATGCCACCGCCAGGACCACCGGGACCGCCTTGTTGCTGCATGGACTGTTGTTGCATCATTTGTTGCATTTGCATGGCATTGGGGCCGCCGCCCATCATTTGTTGGTTTTGCATTTGTTGTTGACGCATCATTTGCTGTTGCATTTGAGCGGGTGTTAGCTGCATGCCAGGGTTGGGACCACCCATGCCGCCAGCACCACCATTGGGACCATTAGGCATGCCGGGACCACCGCCTCCGCTGCCCATGAATCCTAAAAACAAAACAAAATTTAATTCAGTTTTGTAACGCAAATCTTAGTTCCATGTAACTTACCACCATTGAAACCTCCCGCTCCCTGTCTCATTGGACCACCGGGTCCAGAAAAGCCCATCTGCTGCTGTTGCATCATCATGTGACGCCATTCTTGTTGTGAGCCCACAGGCATGCCATCGGGAGATACTTGAACATTAGGCGGTCTTTGGGGACCACCAGGACCCATTGGTCCACCATAGGGACCCATGGCAGAGCGTGGTCCTCCAGCGGAATGTTGCATATACATAGAGTGTTGGGGACGCATCATGGGACCTAAAAAAACAGGAAAGGCAAATAATTATCGAAATTTGAAGTGAACAAAATTAGGTGACGCATGAAGGCTGAAGGGATAGAGCTAAAACCGTGACATTTTATATCGCGATTACTGTTGGTGTCTAGGAGTGAGATATGGTACGTTTTGGTAAATAAGTACTACTGTTATATAAAAGTACTAAATGTTACTAAATTGGGCATTGGGTGAAGGGATAAGGCTGGAATCCTCAAATTTTGATATTGAGGTCTCTGTGGGTAACCGGAATCGGGGCCTTTGTTAGTTTAAAAAATTTCTCCCTTTGATTCTTTCCCCACGTTCATTTTCTGAATCTATCTAAAAATTTAACGGAAGGCCCCGTTGGTGAGCCACAGTATTTGATATTTTCATTTTTTTGAAAACTAAATATAAAACCGGACTGAATTTTGAATTTTTTTCAAACCACTCACTGACGTAGAAATAAAGATATACAAGAGATTCTTCCAATTTAGGATTAAAAAAATAATAAAAAAAAATAAATAAATAAAAAAAACAATATTTACCTGATGGCGGTATCGGCTGTTGGGTCATTCGTCGCATTGCCGCCGCCTGCGCTGCTGCATTGGGGAAACGTCCACCACCTCCCACAGTCTGCTGCATCATCTGGGCCTGCATTAGCTGCGCCTGTGTGGCCTTGTATTCCGGTGGTGGGGGTCGAGAACCAATGCCATGCTGTTGCATGACTTGAGCACGCATCATTTCTTGTTGTTGCCGGAATTTGGCTTGATTCATGTTCATGGGTGGACCATTGGGACCGCCGGGACACATCATCATGGCTGGGTTGGGTCCAGCATTGGGATTCATACCTCCGGCCGACATCATTTGGTTGGGACCACCACCACCGCCCATGCCCCCTGGTCCCATGCCACCCATGGGACCATTGGGTCCACCCATAACGGGAACATTTGGACCCGGCACATTGGGGCCATTGCCACCTGGTCCTCCCATTGAGTTCATGGGTCCGCTATTGGGCCCTGGACCCACATTTGGACCACCACCAGGGACTTGAGGATTGTTCATAAGGCCTGGTCCAACATTGGGACCACCATTCGGTCCCGTCGCCGACACATTTGGACCTGGCCCATTATTGCCCGGACCTGCTGCTGCTGGATTTTGGTTTTGATTTTGACGCTGTCTCATGTTTGGTGGCACCTGTTGTTGTTGCTGGGGTCCTCCGCCAGCTGCTGCGGGATTTTGTGATTGTTGTTGGGAGAAATTCATGGACTGTGTTTGTGACATGCTAAAGCCACCATCGGAAGCACCTGCAAGAGAGAGTGAAACACATTCATTTGCAATCTTTTTTTTTTTGCCAATAACGGCAGTTAATTGAATTATTTCCGAGCGTTATGGCCCAGCACTCTAATCCAATTTGATACTGAGTTGAGTGTTAATTTGATGGCACTTACCGTTATTATTGTTCATATTTTGATTTGGTTGTTGTTGCTGCTGTTGTTGCTGTTGAGGTTGCTGTTGGCCATTGGGACCACCGGCATTGCTGCCAGGCGTTTGTTGTTGCTGAGTATTTTGAGTATTTTGTTGCTGCTGTTGTTGTTGTTGTTGTTGCTGCTGCTGTTGATTGAAGAACACTCCCTGTTGCGTAGCCACCGACACATTACTTTTCATATCACCGCTGAGATGTAAATGTTGTCCAGCCGAGACCTAAATGGCAGCAGAAAAAATGGGAAACACAAACACATGGAAAAATGTTAAATTCTCGTTGAAAATGACTTAATTAAGATAATGGTTAAAAAACCGTGTGCGTGTGTATGCAAGTGTGTTTTATAAATTACATTGTAATTGTGTTTGTTGTTGGGGGGTTTTTCTCGCTCTCCTACTCTCCCTCTCTCTCAATCTATGTTAAGAGCAACCCCCCATGATGGCCGAGTTAAGGGACATATGCTATTAATTCAATATTTAAAGCAATAATAAAGCATATTTTTAGGGTTTATAGGAAAAGTTGATATTAGAACTTTAAATAGATTAAAAATAAACCTATCAAATCTATTAACAATGGATGAGAAAATAAGCAACATCTCTTTAAATCAAGGGCATAAATCAGATAATGAATTTCCGATTAAGTTGGACTTAGAGCTTTGGAAAAACATAAAAAGTAATACGAAAATATATGAATTTTGAAATAAATTTTTAAATGACATATCCACTTAATTTTCCATAAATATTTATTAGCATAAATAATTTACTAATCTTTCATTTAATGCCTATCAATCAATCTTTTATTGCTTCATGTGATAAACCGAACAATGTGAGGCCATAAAAGAATACATAGAGGGTGAGATGAAAAAACTGCAACCAACTTCAAACTGCTGTCATTTCTAAGCCACTCATTCGATAGCTGTTAAAATTATTCCAGTGACAGCTCATTATATTGTTTACGAGCGTACAAAGGCACGCTGAGAATTTTCCAAAAAAAAAAAAAAAAATAATCGTGATGGAATTCAAGCGTGGTAGTGTGATTTCTTTACATTTGGCTGGAAAACCACAAGTGGCTATCGTTAGAGCACAACAGAATTTACCGTACCATCGCTCTTTACCGTGATACTGGTAGCGTAGCCCAACGTCAAGTGGACGCAAGAAAACAGCAACATCAGCAGAAATGGTTCGAAAAGTAAAGAAGCGACCTGAACGAAACCCGCATCGCTGTTGCAATGTTCCATTCAGTAAATATTAAAAAATGAGCTCGAGATAAAGCCATTGAAATTCCAAAAATTGCAGGGATTTACATCGCAACAGAAAGAAAATAGACTCAAAAGAGCTAAAGAGTTGCTTCGCTGGGCCGGGAGTGGTGAACTGCCGAATTTGTTTTTTTTTTCGATGAGAAAACATTCGTTGTTTCCTTGACAAAGAGGTTAGCTTAAAATGTGTACCTTCGGTTGGCCACCAGAACTCAAGCGCCGACCATGGTGATGGTGTGGGCCGCCATAACAGCCGATGGTCGCTCTCCGCTCGTATTAATCGACCGTGGCATCAGAATAAATGCCGAATATTATCGCGAAAATATTCTGGAGGGTGTATTAAAGACTTGGACACCCAAACATTTTGGCCGCAGAGGCCGCAACAGGACTCAGCACCATCGCACTCAGCACGCGCCACCCAAGAATTCTTACAAAATGATCTAAAATCTCCGGATACCAATCCGTTGGACTATTGTGTCTGGAGTATTTTGGAAAGCAAGGTTGGCACTAAAAAAATACCAAAGTGTCGATCACCTCAAGCAAGCGCTTCGCCGGGAATGGGCCAAAATACCGCAGAACAACATTCGGGCAGCGTGTGATGGTTTCGTTGGCCGTTTGTAGGCCATAATTCGTGCCAAAGGTGACCAATTCGAATAAATCTAAACTTATTCTAAAATTTGATGCTATTTTCGACATTTTTTGTTTAATTTAAGAAAATGTAAAAATTATGGCGTTTGACTTTGTTGCAATTTTTATTCATCTCACCCTGTTTTGTATTGTAGTTAGTAATAAAAAAGCAATAATTTCAATGTTTTTCTTATTTCCCCCCATTAGTTTTTGCCCTCCTTAATGCTAGGCAATTGTATGGCTTTACATGTTAAGCCTTAACATATTCATTTGTATTCGCAGTTTTACTTTCACACACACACATGGAAACACTTACGCAAAAGTATGCAACAAAATAATCTTGTTAACGCTATCAAATTGTACAAAGCACTTTAAGTATGTATAACCATAATTTGCTTTCAAATACTGCTTAAGACAATAATAACAACTACAACTACTTAGGCATAAATATGTGTTATTAAATAATTGGTAAATATGTGAGTAGTCAACTTCTGCCTGAAATTATGCATGACGACATAAGTTGCCTGTCAAACTCTAGATTAGCTGAATGAAATTTTCAAAATCTTTATTACACTAGTTACGATTTTATGTTGTCTATTTTGGATTAAAGCCAGTTGGAAATGAAATTTATCTACAATTGTTGCAAACAAATGAAATTGTACATGTGTATGTATGTGTGTGTGTGTCGACGTGCTTCCGCCTGTGTCGAGAGACATGCGGGGATAATGAATTGCATGTGTGTGAATAAATAACTTTAAATTGTAATGTAAATGAATTTTGGCAAAATATTCATTTGTATGACATCCTAAAATTATGCTAATTTATTTTTCAACAAAATTTTTAATTATTCAATACTTTGGAGAGTGAGCAATGGGAGATGGAAATAGACAATTTATTATAAGATTCAGGTTTAATAAATTGAAGTTTTTGGTTGAATGTTGGATATATAAAAGCTCTGATTAATTCTTCTATGGAAGCTTCTCCACTAGGTTTTGAAATCTTTTATGTGTGATTGCATAAAATAAAAACATACAAATACCTATTGCATACTTTTGGGCGTTCTCAGTAATATATTGAATATGTATACACTAGCAAGTGCTGGCCGCTTCGTCAGCGTAAATCCATCTTCAAACTTTCGATTCTTTCCAACACTTTGATTTAGGCCCTGTTAGTGCTCAAAATGCACAATTAAGTGAGGCAAAATTTTGTAATCAAAACTTTATACATTAGAATTTCAAGGTTTATATATCCTTTTTCGAAAAGAATAATAAGAAAATGTTTACATTTTACTACAAAAAGTCCTCAAAATCTTTAATGTTTAAGTGTACCGAGGAGGATATTAGTAAAACCGATGCATATTTTTTTTATCCAAAACCAATTCAACGTCCCCATATGTAAACCCTAGATACCAACAGTGACCACAATATCATATTTCAGATATATCCTTTAACTCAGTACCAAATTTAGTAATATTTAGTATGTATAACCAAAACAATGTAACTCTCGATACTAGACACCAGTAGTAATCCAAAAATGAGTCAAATGTGTAATAACATTTGCAAAACCACCTCCATATCTCGATTCTAGATAGATAGAAAATTTCAGAATCGTATTTCTATCCCTTCACGGAATACCAATTATAGTTCCATTTAGTACTTTTCGTAAAATTATAGTACGTATTTGTAAAACCACCTCCAGATCTCAATTCCAGATATCAACAGAGACCTCAATATCAAAATTCAGGATTTCAGCTCTACCCCTTCACCAAACACCAAATGTAGTACTATTTAGTACTTTTCGTACAATTATAGTATGCCATAAAACCGTAATAGATCTCAAGACCAAATACTAACAGAGACCTCAATATCAAATTTCGGGATTCCAGCTATATCCCTTCACCCAATACCCAATTTAGTATCACTTAGTTCTTCTCGTACAATCATAGTACACATTTTCAAACCTCCCCCAAATCCCAAACTCAGATACCACCAGTAATCAAAATTTCAAATTTCAGAATGTTATCTTTATCCCTTCTCTCAATACCAAATATAATATCATTTAGTATTTTTCGTAAAATTATATTACGCATTTGAAAAATCACAACAGATCTCAACAGAGACCTCAATGCCAAATTTCACGATTTCAGCTCTAATCCTTCACCCAATACAAAATATAGTACCATTTAGTACTTTTCGTAAAAGTATAGGACACATTTCCAAACCTACCTCCAAATCTCAAACACAAATACAAACAGAGGCCTCAATACGAAATTTCGGGATTCCAGCTCTGTCCCTTCATCCAACATTAAATTTAGTACCATTTTGTACTTTTTCGTACAAATATAAGACGCATTTCCAAATTCACCTCAACCCCACATACCAACAAGTATCTAAATATCAAAATTTCAGGATTGTATCTCCTTCCCTTCAACCAAAACCAAATTTAGTACCATTTAGTACATTCGTACAATTATACTACATACTTTCAAAACCCCCTCCACATGTCAAGGCTACAAATGTACAGCAACCATTTACCAAATTTTAGATTTCAAGCACTGTCTGTTCACCAAATATCAAATTGTACCAAATAAAGTACTATTTAGTACTTTTTGTGCACTTGTAGTAGACATTTCCAAAACCACCTGTTAATAACAAAACTACCACCAACAGGGACCCCAATACAAACTGCTAAGATTCCAGCTTCAACAGTTCACTCTAAACCAAACTGTTTGAAATATAGTACCATTTAGTATAGATCGCACACATGAATCACATTTTGACAAACCACTTTCATATATCAAACTTATTTTCAAATCATGATTATCTTAAAAAATTTCAAGCTTTTAGCTCTATCCGTTCACATAATACCAAATGGTACCATTTTTTAAGTTTAGTACCATTTTAGGACTTTTCGTAATCTTAAAGAATTTCCAGAAACACTTTTATCCTTCTATCTTGCGCCCCATCGGTGACTCTTATTTCAAATTTTATAAAATTCAAGCTCATTCCCTTTGCTTAATTCAAAGTATTAAATTTTTGGTACATTTTAGTATATTTCATTCATTATTTAGTACAGTTTGCACACTTGTTACACAGTTCCGAAAACCACCTCCATATATCAAACTTACTTTCCACCCTTGATTTTCATACCAAATTTCAAGTTTTTATCTCTATTCGTTCACATAATACCAAATGGTATCATTTCAGAAGTTAAGTACCATTTTGGGTCTTTTCGTGACCTTAAAGTTCGAATTTCCAGAAACAATTTGGTATATATACCTGCACTTTATCAGTGACACCCATTTCAAATATCAGAACTCTAACAACGTTCCGTTTGTTT